TGTTTTTTTCTCTCTAAACAATCTATTCTCCTCATTAGTTTCCCAGTTCCACAGAAGGCAGAGAGATTTCTTAAATTTTTCGAGAAAATCCTCCACAGCAGAATATGAATATTCATAGGACAGTAAATTTTACTGTGTAGGGTTGAAATCTCTTCCATGTCACAAATTGTACGTAAGAAAAAATGAACAAACTATTCAGTAACCTGATTTTTCTATAGTTTTCCTATATCATAAGTTTACTCATTCTTAACTATATTTAAAAAGATGACACTACACTTTGGGAGGCGTTTTTAAGTTTAAGCGTTTTTAAAAAAGTTATATTTTCTCTGACTGATTGCTATACAGCCGTACTGCTCAGGCTGTGTCCATTCTCGTCTGATGTCGGAATCTAGGCAGAGTTTGTCCATAACGAACACCGTGTTCATTAGTGCGCCTGGGACCAGAGCACCTTAGGTCACAATTCGATGATCGATTTTGTAATGGAAGAGACATACAATTGTATCCCTTGGGGTGTCCTGTGTGGGAGTATGGGGTCCGGGGCCCGTTGTTGTGGGCTATCCGGTCCCTGTATAAACGAAGGCTGGGTTCGCATTGCCATCAGTAAGTCAGACTTGTTCCCGGTGGGTGTTGGACTCCACCAGTGCTGCCCTTTGTCACTGATTCTGTTCATAATTTTTATGGCCAGAATTTCTAGGAGTAGCCAAGGGGCGGAGGGGGTCCAGTTTGGGGGCCTCAGGATTTGCTTTTTGCAGTGCTTTTTGCAGTGCATGCTGCAGGCTGTTTCTTGCAGCATGCACTGGGGCAGTTTGCAGCTGAGTGTGAAGTGATCGAGATGAGGATCAGCACCTCCAAGTCTGAGGCCATGGTTCCCGACCGGAAAATGGTTACCGCCTCAAGTGGAGTAGTTGAAGTATCTCAGGAGAGATCGAAAGGTGGATCGGTGCATCATCTGCAGTAATGCGGATTCTGTGCCATTCTACTGTGGTAAAGACAGAGCTGAGTTGGAAGGCAAAGCTATTGATTTACCGGTTGATCTACATTCCTCCCCAAATGGTCACAAGCTTTGGGTAGTGACTGAAAGAATGAGATTGCGGGTGAAAGCGGGAGAAGTTTCCTTTGCAGGGTGTCTGGGCTTAGCCTTAGAGATAGGGTGAGGAGCTCGGACTTCAGGGAGGGACTCAAAGTAGAGCCGCTGCTCCTCCGCATCGAATGGAGCCAGTTGAGGTGGTTCGGACAGCTATCTAGGTTGCCTCCTGAACGGCTACCTGGGGAGGTTTTTCAGGCATGTCCAGCCAGGAAGAGACCTCAGGGCAGACCCAGGACACGCTGGAGAGATTATGTCTCTTGGCTGGCCTTGGATCGCCCTGGTATCCCCCCGGAGGAGCTGAAGGAGGTGGCTGAGGAGAGGGAGGTCTGGGCATCCCTGCTTAGACTGCTGCCCCCGCGACCCGACCCCAGAAAAGCAGCAGAAAATGGATGGATGGATGGACACTATACCTTTGGTAGTAGATACTTCTCTATAAGTAGCACGTCTGAGTCAAAATTAAATCCATTCATCCATTTTCAATAAGCATCTCTCCAGCTTGGGCTGCACTGATCAGGAGCCAGTTCCAGAATAGCATAAGGACCAAGGCAAATAGGAGACAGACTGAAATGTTGTTCATAATCATCTGATTCAAAGTGCTGAGATTACTGGTCCTTCAGTTACCAAATCAGACATCATAGTGACTCAGCGATTAATGCTACCAATTCGGCAATTATTTTCAATTAGGTGAACAATAATGAATCTACTTGTTTAGCTACAATATAGATTTTCATAAAGCTGCATTGTTATGGTTAAGCACTGGGTTTGAATTTCCCACTTAGATTCAGCTCAAGCATATGCTTGGAGGGGATCTTGGGAAATGTGACAAGTCTTCAAAATAAACATTGCTCATTGCTAGTTGTGATGACTCTGTGTTGCACACAGTGGGCTAACTGGTCCGCCAGGGCTTTGAAATCCTCCTTAGTTGGTATCCATTTATTTTAATCATTTTATTTGTTTATGTGTCATGCTACAAAGAGGATTCAAACTAATTCCCACTAAATGTGGTGTTGTGCCTTCCAGCTGCAGGGTCAGGAAAAAAAAAACCCTGTTCCCCCTCATTTTATTTATGATTTCCTTCTGACCTTGTGCTTGCTGGGTCTCCACTGCCGTCTCTGAAAGCCAAGCTGCAGGTAATTTGCAGGCCTTTCTTAAAAAGACCACCTTTTTAACAATCTGAGGTATAGAAGATGTGGCATTTTCCAAAAAATGTGTATAAATGAGTCCGAAAGAAATGCATTTCCCTCGGCAGGTAACCTAGCAATGCCGACCGCGTAGGCATCGTGTACGAACCAAATCGTCTTCACCGAAACCTTCTCTCCGTGAGGAGGTTTATTAACCAGCAGGAATCGGAAAGGCGCCCTAAGGATGTGGCTGTCAGCCTTGTGACTTGGCTTTCTCTCCTGAGGTGTACATGCGCACACGCTTGCGTGTCACCCTGCATGTGTGACAGGATCACTGTCCAAATATGGGCTGTGTGTATATGTGTGTATTGAATTGACATTTTCATTCATTCATCTGGGGGTGGCAGTGATTAGCACTGATGCCTCGCACCTCTGGGACCAGGGTTTGAGTCTCATACTGTAGAGCTCTCAAATTGCCTGAAGGTGTGCATGTGTGAGTGATTGGTGTGTCGATGTGCCCTATGAGGGGTTGGTCCCCCATTCTGGGTGGTCCCTGCCTTGCACCCATACCTTCTGAGAGAGGTTCCAGACCCCCCACGACCCTAAAGAAGACAAGCAGTTACAAAAGATGGATGGACGGATGGATCCATTTGGATTGGCTACATTTAGATGTGTTCCTGGAAAAAGTCTGAGGAGTTGTTTTTAATTTCTGTGTGTAATGTCTGTTTTATATTCAAGTGAACAATTTGAAACAAACATGACTGCAATGAAATATAAAATTATTCCACATGGGGAGAAGTGAGAGCACAGCATTACCTCACTGTCCCGCTCCACCGATTTTATCAATTACCGATTCGCCGATTTAAATTCTCATAATTATCCTGTCTCGCAAAATCTAGGGAATCATTTTAAATTTCACAGATGATGTTCTTTCAAAGAACAAATAATTTTATACATAATACTACTTACTACATCAAATAAAATATAGTGATTTTCCATAAAAGGAAAAGTTTCAATATCACCCTCAGAATATGATTCATATTTTAATAAATGGATCTTTTATCACAACCACAATATCTAACAAATAAATCAGACACGTGTAGGAACAAAGGCAACTTTCTTTTTTGTTACATATGACTTCATTTTCCGTATGAATAGAATAAAAACATGAAATAAAACATTTGTTATTAATCTAACTGCAAATGTCAAAACAGCAGAATATAAAATACTGTTAGATTGTCTAACATTTATTGGAATAATTCTTTATTTTAATATATTCATCCTAAATAAAACATGTCTTTATCAGTGTTCTTTCTTTTTATGAATAAGAAATGCATGAGTATTAGCAGTACTGCCCATTACCTTCCAGTTTTATATTAAAAATAAGTTCTACATTTAGCAAAGAGCAAGTTGAGGGAGGCGTAAAAAAGAACTTCCCCACGGGGACAAAAAAGGATCGATTATTATTATTATTAGATAAAGTATATTGGTGGCACAGTGCAGGGTAGTACATCATAGCCTCCCACCTCCAAGACTGTGGCTGTCATTCCTACCTCCAGCTGTGTGCGTGTGTGGATTTGGTTTATATTACATTGTGGGGACCTGTTATTTTGACATTGTGGGGACCATTTTTCAGGTCTGCACAAAGATCTGTGAATGCAATCGAAAAACTAAAAATGCCAAAAGTCTTGTATTTTGTTTGGTTACTTATGGCTTTGAGCTGGGTAGGGCTTAAGGTCATCATGTTGGGATTAGAGTTTTCCCACAGAAATTAAGGGACCGTCCACACAAATATATGAATACAAACCTGTGTGTGTGTGTGTGTGTGTGTGTGTGTCTGCATACTCCTGGTGTTTGCACAGGTACTCTTTGGGTACTCCTCTCTCCCTTTGCAGTCCAGGAACATGCAGTTAGTTGAAGTGGCTACTCACAGTGTGTGAGTAAAAGTACTGGTGCCCACCCACTTCACAATGTCCTGTGAAATAAATTGAAACTGATTAAAGTAACTGGCATCCACCATTCAGTAGTCCACGTTTCATAGAGCACACACTTTGCTTTTGATTTACAACTTATTTTGTTTAATGTTCAATAATAAAACTAATTAAATGGTTTGGTCAAAATTGTTGGGACCCCTGTGAATTGTACAATTTGAATTGTAATGATGTCTCAAGGACATTATTTACTTTAATCAATATCACAGGTGTCTTCAATCTTGCAGTCACTCGCCCATTTCAATAGAGAAAAGTATTCAGCTGTTTTGTATCATTGTCTGCATCAAGCAGTACCGCCAAGAGAGACCAGTTACAGCGCGGTTCCAGCTCGCTGAGGTTTTCCACTGCAGAAGGGCTGGCTCAGTAAAGGTGTTGTCAGGTTTGGAGAGTGACCGTGACGTAAAACCGAAGAGACAGATATATATTGTCCAAAAGATGTACATCATGATTTACTATGTGCAAATTTTTTTATTTAGTTTTTTACTGTGTGTTAATTTCCACTAACATGCATGTGAAAATCGTTGGGTTATGTTAGCATCAAATGCTAGTGGAATTAGCATTAGTTTGTGTAAATTTGCATTACGAATCCGTTCCATTCAGCTGTTCTATAGTACTTTTTAAAGTAGGAGGTTGGAAATTTCCGTGTTCTGAGTTATCGGGAATCATTGGCGGAGCGGGGGGGGTGGCTTACTGGGCTTAAGCCCGGGTTGTTGTTTCAGAAGCCCAGGGTCTTTTGGAGTGTAATTTATTTCATAGTTAGATGCCTGACTGACAACTGTATAAAACAAAAACTACACACAATATTCGAAGCACATAGCGCACAGTCGTAAATTCCCCATAATTTTGGTATGATCCGAGCTCAGGCACTAGGCGACTGAGCACAGCACTTACGCATGTGAGCGAGGGGGGAGAAGCTGCTGCCTGCGAATTTGCTGTAGGAGAAGTGCAGACAGGCAGACAGAGGAGAGCTTAAGTTTGACCAGGTACCAAAGCAAATCATTCGTACTGTACAAATAGCTAATGTAAATATGACGCTGACAAAAGATTGATATCAAACTGATCACTTGACCCATATTACGTTACTTGCTCTTCGAGTGAATCAAGAAATGGCGAAATGAAAAGCCGAACAACAATGCTGTTTTTTTTTAGAGAGTCTTAGGTTACATGTGTGTTTATTTCATATTTTCAGTTGTTACCCTCCACGGCTAAATAAAGCACTCTAAATCGGTTTCAGTTATGTACTGGTGTACACAACAATGGACATAAGGGGCTTCTTTCACAGAAAAAAACTCAGGTAAATGTTATTTTATATATTATGCTTTGTATGTTGTTCAATATATTTCTATGCAAAAAAAGGAATTTCAATACACAGCAGTATATTCACAGTTGAAACCAAATATTTACATACACTTTAAGGAAAAAACATAAAAACATTTTTTTTTACTGTTAAACATCAATTTAGAGTAAACTTTTTTGTTTTATATAAATAAATATTGAAATATCTTTTGAATTAGTTAAATGTCAGAATAAAGAGAGAGAGAGAGAGATGTCTATTTTTTATCACTTTCATCAAATTTAGGAGTATATATACACTAAGTTTATTGTGTCTTTAATTAATAAGAAAACTCCAGACGATTCCATTCTGAGCTTAAGAAGCTTCTGATAGGTTAGTAGAGTCACAGCCTAATAAATCTTCAACTTCACAGCATGTTTTTCAGTCATTTCTAACCCCGACCCCCCCCCCACCAATCCCACATGCATACTACCCTTTGGGGCTAAGCCCCGGGTGTATAAAATGTCTGACTCCGCCTCTGTCGGGAATGCATTAATACATCGCGATATGCTGAACTACCACTAATAATATATCCTCCTGAGACCCAAGGAAAAAAGTGTCCTTCAATTTTAGGTTATTTGTCTTTGGAGGAAATAAGACATCTTACAATTTAGATTTTTTCAAATTTATTTTTAATTTCACAGCATGTCCTCTTTAGTGCACAACAGGAATAAATACGTTTCCTAACATCAGTGAAAAAATAGATGCAAAAATAAAATGTCCACTGCAATGGACATAAATGAATGGGTGGGGACTCAGGAGGATATAGAATGTGCTGTTTTTTCTTCAGATAATCCCTGCTTATTGATTCCGATCACTGTAATCTCCGTTCTTTCAACCAATCAGATGGTGGTGATGCAACCAGCTTGCGGGTAGGGCTTGGATACGGCTTTGCGAACTTTGCAATGGAAAACTGTCAGTCCACAGTGCAGGTCAGGTACGGTTCAGTTCCTGGTGGCAGTGGAAAAGCACCATAAGTTTTTTGTGCCCCCTCAAGTAAAGTGTTACCATGATACTTTCAAAGAAAAGAACCCCACCCCTATTGTGAGATATGGAGGAGGCTCAGTGATGTGCTGCCTGTGGCACTGGGCGCCTTGAATCTTTGCAGAAGTCAGTGAGACCAGAAGATTATCAAGCCATTTTGAAGGTACTGCTCAGTGTTAAAAAGATCTGCCTCAATCACAGGTCATGGGTCCTCCAGCAGGATAATGACGCAAAACATATATCTCTGAGCAGCCAAAAATGGGTGAGAAGAAAACGTGAGACTGTTCTGCGGCAGCCTGATCTCAATTAAACTGAACATCAATGGAAGGAGCTGAAACTTGCGGCTGGGAGAAGGAATTCATCAAACCTATGAGAACTGGGGCAATTTGTTCAAGAAGAGTGGACCAGATTGCCAGTTGCCAGCTACAGAAAGTACTTCATTGCAGTTATTTCTGTCTCTGTGCTCTGTAAAAGTCTGGTATTCCCTTCCTTGTGGCCTGTATTACCTGGGTGAGGTTCCAGGCTCACCCGGACTGTATTGGTTAAGCACTTGTGGATTATGGATATTAAATATATGAAAATGGTATGTTATTGGTCCTCCAGCCATTTCACAAGCCAATGACTTATCAGCTGGTTCTTCCTGCAGCTTCTGATTTTGTATTCATTTATAGTCTATTAGGTAGGGGTGAGCAATCTTGTCCAGAAAGTGCTGTTGTATGTGTGGGTTTTCACTGCAACTAATTAGATTAATTAGATTACTAGATTACTAATTAGAGCACTGATTCGCTCATGAGTCCTCACACTTGGGTTTGAACCGCTAACCTACAGGTTATCCCAAAAACCTGCATACAGACCGGCCCTTTGTGGATAAGACTGCCCACCTCTAATACAAGGGAAGTGCATTAAGTCCCGGAGTTGGGGGCCCCATAGAAATGCGTGGTTTGAGTGGTGGCAAACACCCCCACTAGAAGGAAACCAGAGAGAGACATGAACAGAACATGAAGACGTTACAAACACAGACTCAGGGGTGGGAACCAAACCCACTGCCGACCGATTCAACCATCTCAGCTGGAAAACTACTAGTTGTGTTGTGCTGCTTGGCATTTTTTGATCAAGAGGTGACTCTGTAGTGAATTTACTTGACATTCCCTGACACGTGTGAGTGAATATGCTTGCACTTGCATGTGTACATGTACCTTGATGCTTCGCACCTGAGGTGCGTGTCTGAGCTCCAGGCCACCACCCTCCTGGCCTGAAAAGGCATGAATAAACTGGCAGCAACAAACCACCCATGTATCACTGTGAAGGTCAAATCAATACACTTCCAGCTCAGAAGCTCTGTGCATCCTGGGAAGGTTTCAACACACCAATCTGTTTGTATAAATGTAGTTATTATATATGACTGCATATTTGTGCGTTATTTAAACAGAGCTATATATTTAAAAGCACACATAGCATGTGAAGGACAAAAATGCTTTTGTTCAATCTCGGAAAAAGATACGCATTCCACATCTATCTATCTATCTATCTGTCTATCTATCTATCTATCTATCTGTCTATCTTGTTCTGCAGGGAGTTGTCTAGTTTTGGAGATATCGGCTGTACAAATGTTGGGCTTCTCTCGAATGTAATGAGACTGAATGGCATTCTTTCTGTGGTGATTAAAGTTCCAGAAAAATACATTTGAAAAATTCAACAATGTCTCTTTCCTGAAATCATGACCCGGTTATTGTAGATAATCTACAGACTTTGTAGGGAGCAGTTTAATGTACAGACTATTTTCTTCTATCGAATTCCACACACCAATCATATCACTGTGCAGAAGATGCAAGCACAAGCACCCCAGTGACAGAGACCACCCCAGTGACAGAGACCACCCCAGTGACAGAGACCACCCCAGGGACAGAGACCACCCCAGTGACAGAGACCACCCAGAGAGGAACGGAGGTTTAAATGTTCAAATAGAAGTCGCTGGTAATTACCTGCCCTGTTTGTATCTAGCCCGGGAAATGTAATCGTGTTGCACAAATACTATGACTTTATAACGGAATTCTTCTGAAAATTCTTCAAAACCCACTTAGAATGCATTGAAGCTGACTTTATGCACAATACCAAAAAACATATTTCATTCAGGGTGTACCACAGCGCTGGTACCCTTTGCTGCCTAGCATTAGGGTTAGGGTTAGGATCCAGGCCTCTCTGCTCTGTGAAACGTGGACTACTGAATGGTGGATGCCAGTTACTTTAATCAGTTTCAATTTATTTCACAGGACATTGTGAAGTGGGTGGGCACCAGTACTTTTACTCACACACTATGAGTAGCCACTTCAACTAACTGCATGTTCCTGGACTGCAAAGGGAGAGAGGAGTACCCAAAGAGTACCTGTGCAAACACCAGGAGTATGCAGACACACACACACACACAGACACACACACACACTCACACACAGTACCAGTACAAGTGGTCAGAAGGTGGATGGATGGATTTTGCATGGTTTGCTTGTTTTAGTAAGAAATGGAAATAGTTTTTATATTTAAGGTAACACTTTACTATTAGTTCATGATTTGTTCCTGAGTGGTAAATGAATTAATACGTAATTTTTGCCCCTCAAGTGAAGTCTTACCATTATTAATTAATTAGTTAACTGTTAACTAATTTAGTGCCCGAATGGAATACCTGAACTATCGTGACTGATTAAGGATGAACAAGAATGGGATCCATATGTAACTCAAACTTAGTTACTGGTTAATTAATGTCCCCTCAAGTATAGTGTGACCATATTTTGTAAGGAATTTAATTTATATGGGATGTTTTTATAGAAATTTGACCTAAGAAACCAGAGACTCATAACTGTAACTCTTCTTGATACTTATGCTGAGTGGGAATGAGAGCCGAGGAATGGATTGAGGATGAGTTTTCGTGAAATTTCCAACTGCCACGGCAATTGATAACCTTCCTGATGCCACCACATGCCGGAATTAATGAAGCGCAGTTTGCCCTGACTGAACTGATTACCCTGCTGTAGATGCGCTGGACCAGCTGGGAAGAAGACTGATCCCAACCCATAAATAGCACATTTCATTGTTGGCTGGATTTGGACCTTCTGCTTGACAAGCTGTCAGGTGTCATTGTATGTAACAGTTTATTCCAGAAGGGCGCAAGTCGTAGTGGACGTTCTGGCTGATATAGCAGGGTGAGTCAAATTCAGATTTCCGTTCAGCTCAGCTGCATTTCCAATTGAATAAGAATAGGTTCTTGTTTCTCTCAGAGGAAGAGTGACCAATACCTGATGCCTGATCCTGTATCCCAACGTGGCAGTTATCACACCCTGACACCTATATTGTTTCTCTCTAAATTATCCCCTTGAGCTGATGCCGAAACTCCCCACTAATTTTGATCAACTCAACTGTAACCCCACACTCAAATAAAGGACCTATTCTTCCTTCATCGCCATGATCACATGGTTCTGGCCACAGGTCCACCCAGAGCAAATACTACACACATACAGAAATCTGATTCCACTCAGATTTCTACATCAGTTAGCAGTGTATGGCATTCAGCTATAGAACCATTCCAGGAAGGAGATTGTGTTGCCACGGTGACTGAGGACTGGAATGGTTCAACAGAACTGTTAAATGAGAAAATCAAGAATATAATCGATACGTGGAAATATATAGCACGTACGTCTAATTCAGTGGTTCCCAACCTTTTTTGGCCTGTGACCCCATTTTGACATCACAAATTTCTGGTGACCCTATAGACATTTTTTTTTCTAGAATTAGTTTTTGATCATGTTTGTTATGCCGTGTTGCAAATACAGGGTAGCCAGATTAGTGCACGAAGTCACATTTTATTTTCCCTAATCACATGTACAGTTAGGCGAGCTTGTCTTTACAAGGCTGAAGGTGATCGCGATCATTTTATTTGAACTCATTTATATTTATTAGTGATGGGTCGATCCACATTTTCAGTTCCAATCCGATTCCGATACACAACTACTGATACCGATACAGATTCCAGTACAAGAGCACTTTTTACTGCTATACTTCATATATTAATTTTCTAAGCTAGTAAATACAGATGGAAAAAATGTATGACAAAAAAATATTTACTTAGGCTACTACAAACATACTTAACGTACTGTTCCACCTCGTCTGTACGTCTTGTTTTAAGTGTTTTTGAGGCATTTGCAGTTCAACATGAATATCTTCAAAGCAAGTATACACAAGTGGCGAATGATCAAAATTTTAACACAATTTTTCTCCCCTTGGCGTCAGCTCAGTTACTCTTTGTTGCGATGGCAGCCCCTCTTGTATCACAAGCTGTAGCGAGTTCACAGGACAGTCAAGGTTAGCGACTCCCAAATCATCCATTGCTTTTTTTTGTCTCGCAGTTGCGTGCGCTTTGTTAAGTGGGATTGTCCATTAAACGCTATTCAATGCAAGCATTGGAACTGGACCTTGGAGCAATGGAAGAAGGCCACCTGGTCTGATGAATCCCCTTTTCTGTTGTATCATATGGACAAGCAAGTATGCATCAATTAGCACACGTAACTCATGTGATCATCATCAGAATTATTAAATATGTATAGAAGCATACTTACTTAACGAAGTAATTCCCGTAGAATATTGGGTTTCCACCCATGGCGTAAAGCATGTGGTTCCATCCAGTGAGTGATAAGGCTTCCACCCGTGTTCAGGCCACTGAGATGGTGGAGATGCAGGATACTGACTGAACAAAGTAACAGCAATAACTGACTGACAGGGTAAATCCCACCTGACCCTAGACATACAGGACACAAATTGCAGCAGTCATGTGCTGCGATATGATACCATGTTTTTGGATCCCTGCTAGAAGAGTCATGTGACTTCGGTCACAGGATCACAGTCCTGTGCTCATCCTCGCTTTCTGAAGCGCAATTTTTACATTAATTCAACTACATATAACTAGTATAAACAACATAAAATTTCAAGTAGAGTTACCTGATTATAAGTGAACTTTGGTGAACGTGACCACATGTCACATGAGTTAAGCATGGTCAAGTGCTTTAGCTGGGAATTCCCTTTACAGAAAATATATTGACCTGAACATCGCCTGGAGAAAATACCATTTATGGCCCATTTGTTAGCTTGTCAGTGTGGGGTGTATACTATAGAGGAACATGGGCTTTCAATGTCTATTCAAACAAGAGTTCAGAAATGGGAACATAGAGAAATTTAAGTGAAACTTCAAGATGTGGTTGAGGCATAAATATGATGTAAGTTCAGGAAAAATGCATATCAAAATGCCCAGTGTGCCTCTAAAATTATGAACAGATGCAAGTTAGAATGTAGTTCGGGATTCTGATAATTATTTTAATCAGTGGTTTTTAGCAAGGAGGTACAATCTGTCAGTTCGGAACATGTCATGAAGTGCTGTAAGGCAATCTAGTATCAGGAAAAATATTAAAAGTTCAGGAATTATATTAGTCAGCAAGAAAAAAGAAACTGCTTGAACATCAGACTAAATTAAAGCCGATAAGGTCTTGAAATATGGCAGTAAATGGAGCAGCTTATCTGAGATGTCATTAGAAGTCTGAAAATACCTTTTCAGAGCTGTCTGCTCAGGGTAATGTGTTTTTTAATTAGCTTCATTCCTGTTAGCGGGGTCTAACTGGTTGAGTGATAGTGTGGTATTACACGACTTGGCCACCTGACCTAAACCCAGTAGAGATGGTTTTGGAGGAGTTTGGAGGAAAAGCTCAGTGAGTGTTCAGTATATGTGGGACATCCTTCAGGACAGCTGGCAGAGCATCCCAGGAGGCCACCTCATGGAACTGGGGTAAAGGAGACAGTAGGGTCAGCCAGTTCCTGGTATAATTGGGGTTAAGGGCCTTGCTCAAGGGCCCAATGGTGGGATCACTCTGCCCACCCAGGGGTTTGCATGCCCAACCCACAGAGCAGCCCCTCCCCACCCAGCAAATACATTTTAATGAATACTTTTCTGGTTAGTGCATAATTCCATCTATGTTATTTTATAGTTTTTATGTGTTTGTAATTATTCTAAAATGTAGAGAAGAGAACAACTAAACCTTTTGACTGGTACTGTAAGTCTGAGAATGAAGGCCAACATGTGAGCAACGGCTTGAGATGTTTTCTTCTTCTCAATTTTGAATCCTGGCTTAACATATACAGCATTCATCCTTGTGGTTTATTCTTCAGTACGTGAGAGCACACACTAAATAAAAATAAAACAAATGGGCTTTAAATATTCATATTTATTCATGCATATTTTATATGTTCTTTTACATATGCAATGTTTAATGTATACATTTTCTGTATTTGTGTTTATAGAATTTCTGTTATATTTAATGTATGTGTGTGTCATTTCAATTTAATTAAAAAAAAAATTGATTTTGAAGAAATGTGGCTCACCTTCCAGAGCTCAGACATGTTTTTTGTTCATTTTATTTTTAAATTCCTTTTGAGATACAGCGCCTTTTGTACACTGTGAGCAGCAGAAAAAAAAGATAATTCTGAGTGATTTCTTATGAGCTGTAACTTTTTTACTGTTACAGCCAAGGAATCCAGGTCTCTGTTGTGTTAGATGTGTCACGTCTGGAGAG